TACGCCCATCTGGCGTGGACGGAGGATCTCGGAGGGCCTCCAGCTCCTCCGTCCACCAGTACATGGCCCGGCGACGGCGGGGGTGGGATTGGGGCATCGCGACGTCGCATGCCGACGCCACAATGCCCACTATTTCCCCAGCCCTATCCGCGGGGCTGGGGTCCCACTCACCTGGCCCCACATCTAGGTGCCAGGTGGCCGCAAGGACGGCCGCCCGAAACCTGTCCGAATCTAGTCGATTAAGAGCCCATCTTTTGGGGAGAGGAAAGTTCCCCTCCCCTGGGCAGCGGGCTAGCACCTGTGCGGGTTTGGGGAGGCGGAGGGCCCACGCTATATATCTATGATCAGACAGCGATTCGCCCTCCGCCTCCACCCTCCATTCGTGGAACATCCCGGCGGCCGAGGGGGTGGCCCAGGTCAAATCTATGACCGAACTCCCCTCGGCCGCACACAGGTGCTGGTTGAGCCCCTGTTCATTAACAGGAGGCCCGGCCCCGCTGCCCAGCCGATCACGGACTCGCTCCGAGGGTCCCTTTGCCGGGGACTGCAGCCCCACCCTTCCGAGATGTATTCGACGCTACCGAAGAGAAGTACAACCTCACGCTGGATTACATGGCTGAGATACTGGAGGAGTTGGAACACCCTGTAAGCCCGAACCAATCAATTAACGCATCGCATGCTCGGCACGCGTAATCTGCGTTTTCTCAACCGCATCTGCCGCCGATTCAGCTCGCGCCGTTCGACGGTACGCTCACTGACTGGGAGCAATTCCGCGATCGGTTTTCTGCGATCATCATCGAAAATAAAGACTTAAATGATTTCTCGCGCATGCATTATCTGTCGTCATGTTTGCGGGGTTGCGCGTCGGAATGCATAGCGAATCTCACGATCGCCGCCGATAACTTCAAAATTTCTTGGGACGCTGTAAAGGCACGCTATGACAACAAGCGACGGTTGATATCTGTTCACATGTCAACCTTGTTGAGTTGCCGACGCTCTCGCGCGAGTCCGTTTCTGACCTCCAGTCACTTCGCGGACAAATCACCGTGACTGTAGCCGCGCTGAGAAATCTGCAGCGATCGGATGACCAGCTGTGGAACGATATTCTCGTGCATATCGGCTCACAAGGCTTGGATCCGGTTACGCGAAAAGCGTGGAATTTGCGAACCACCGAGAATTCTGAACCGCCGACCTTCGACGAATTCGAGCGATTTCTTGCCTCACGCATCCGGGCTCTCGAGGAATTCTCGAGCGGCAACAAAACTTAACCGAACGCTAAAGCCGTTCCGATATCGCGCGTTCATCTCGCGACCGATTCGCCGGCCGCGAAATCGCGCTGCCCGCTGTGTAAGGCCGGTCATTATTTCATTTCGACGTGCGTGTCCGATCTTTGTCCGCGGGAGTTCGTAGCAGCGACGAGAACTCATGAAGAAGCATCGTCGATGCTTCAATTGTCTCAGCGCAAATCACGCAGCTAATGAGTGCAAAAGCAAATATTCTTGCCGCACATGTTCGCAACGACATCATTCGCTGCTTCACGCTGCTGCGGATTCCAGTGGCGGCGCTGCCGAATCGCGCGCTGCGACGGAATTACGTGAGTCGTCCGTCGAATCACGAGCAGAGGTTCACGCGTTGCTTGCTTCTAACGACTGGACTCGCTCCGCTCGTGTTCTCTTGGCCACTGCGTGGGTGACGGTCCGGGCGTTGTGCGGTCGATCGGTGACCATTCGCGCTTTGCTCGATCAAGGGTCCGAAATAACTTTTGCATCCGAGAAGCTTGCTCAAGCGTTACGCGCGAAAAGAGTCCGCATGCCGGTCGCCACTGTGGAATGCGTCAACGCAGGAACTTTCCGGCATGCGATCGAGATCATTGTCTCACCCCGAGGAGCGGAAACTCCGGCGTTGCTAACCGCCGCGCTAATATTACGATCGTTCACGATGTATGCTCCGCATTGCGCCGCGGATGCATCGTGCTTGACGCATCTCGCGAATCTACGCTGGGCCGATCCGAATCCGCTCGGCACGAATCCGATCGATCTAATCATCTAGGCGGATCTCTATAGCGATATTTTGCGCGAGGGCCTTCGCCGAGGAGGCGACGGTCAGCTCATGGCGCAGAACTCGGTGTTCGGTTGATTTATATCGGGTCCGATCACCCAGGCTTCGACATCCAGGGTGCGGGCGTGCGCGCACTCTAATCAAACGTCGAGCGCAATGATTTCTGCGCATCATTGTCGGGTCGAGACCTCACTCGACGATGAGCTGAAACGATTCTGGGAGGTCGAGGAGGTTCCGCAAACTGTATTGCCAGCGCCTGATGACGATCATTGCGAGGGACATTTCGTCTCGACGCATTCGCGGACATCCGAGGATCGATACGTTGTCCGTTTGCCGTTTCGCAGCGGACCGTCGATCAATGTCGGATCCTCGCGCTCGCGCGCCGTACGGTGTCTTGCCGCACTTACGCGTCGTTTACTAACAAAGCCGGAACAAAGGCGAGCATATGACGAGTTTTTGCGCGAATACGAACTCCTCGGACATATGAGACGCGCTCTTCGAACGGCTATTTCGAACGCGTCTTCGCAAGCCGTCTACATTCCACATCACCCAGTTTTTCGTGCTCATAGCACTACGACGAAATTGCGTGTTGTGTTTAACGCCTCGAGTCCGACGACTAACGGCACGAGTTTGAACGACCATTTGGTAGCTGGGCCGAAGCTGCAGACCGACTTATCGTCCGTATTACTACGATGGCGCAACTTCAAATACGTGTGTTCGGCAGACGTCGAGAAAATGTATCGACAAATTCAAATCGATTCTCGCGATCTCAATTATCAGCGGATCTTGTGGCGACCGGCGCCTGACGATGAGCCGCGCGAATATCATCTTATGACAATCACTTACGGCATGTCCTGTGTTCCGTTCCTCGCGTTGCGAGTCCTTCGACAGTTGATGATGGATGACAGGAACGATTTTCCTCTCGCCGCTCCACTCTTGCAAAACAACATTTACGTCGACGATGTATTATTCGGGAGCGACGACATCGAAAAGACGATCGAGATCCGGAATCAGCTCACCGCGTTGCTTCGACGAGGCGGCTTCGAGCTTCGAAAGTGGTCCGGAAATTCAGCGACGCTTCTCGCGGATCTCGATGAGGCGAATCATGGGCTTGCGTGCACAAGAACACTCGCGGCCGATGAGCGCGTTAAAATTCTCGGCATCGATTGGACGCCAGTGGGCGACGACTTTCAGGTCAGTGTCTCGTTGCCGGCTTGCATCCCCGAGAGCAAACGCTCTATTCTATCGACGATCGCCAAACTTTACGTTCCACTCGGATGGGTCACTCCGGTCACGATTAGCGCCAAGATCTTTATGCAGCACTTGTAGCGACGGAAGCTCGAATGGGATGACTCGATTCCCGAGATGCTGGGGTTGCGCTGGCGGGCGATCTTTTCGAATCTATCCTGCTTGGATGGGCTACGCATTCCGCGATGGACTGGTTTCGGACGCGACGTTCGACGCACGGAACTGCATGGGTTCGCGGACGCGTCTAATTCCACGTACTCTGCCGTTGTTTATTCGCGACTAACAACGCACTCAGATCAAGTGATCACGTTGCTCGCCGGCAAATCACGCGTCGCTCCATTGCAGCCAATCAGCATCCCACGTCTCGAACTTTCGGCCGCCGTGCTCCTCTCACGTCTCGTCGATTTCGTGCGGTCAACGGGGGACTACGACAATGCACCGTGCTGCTGTTGGTCTGACTCGACCGTCGTGTTGTCGTGGCTGGCGGCTCACCCGTCGCGATGGAAAACATTTGTCGCGAATCGGGTGGCGGAAGTGCACGCGCGTCTTCCGCGCGTTCAGTGGCGGCATGTTCCGACGGCCGACAATCCCGCTGATTGCGCTTCGCGCGGGTTACTCGGCCGGGAACTTCTCAAGCACGATCTCTGGTGGCGAGGCCCGTCGTGGTTGCCGTTGCCACCGAACGCTTGGCCGTCATTCGGGGATGCCTCGGCTGTGGAGGCGTTGAGCGAGGAGAGAGTCGTGACGCTTCACGCCACTGACTCAGCATCGCTCAGCTCGCTCCTCCTCGAGCGCTATTCATCGTGGCCAAAATTGGTTCGCATTACCGCGTACATCATGCGCTTTATCGCGCTATGTCGTCGCCGTCTTACGGGAGAATCGTCGGGTGATCCAGTGGGCCTGGGCGTCACGGCGGACGAATGTTCTAGAACGCGTACGCGATTATTAAAACAGATCCAAGCTGTGTTGTTCCCAAAGGAACTGCACAAACTCGCGAATCGCTTGGAATTACCGTCGAAGAGCTCAATTCTTGCCCTTCGACCGTTTCTCGATGAGGACGGTCTGTTTCGCGTCGGCGGCCGGATTTCGCGCGCTCCGATGCCTTGGACCAGGCGTCATCCGATTCTGCTCGCATCGCATCGTATCACGAAACAGATCGTCGATCACGCTCACGTCCGTGGGCTGCATGCTGGCGTGCAGCTTACCCTTAGCATCGTTCGACGCGACTTTTGGATAATTCGAGGTCGGGGCGTGGTGTGCGCTCGCGAGCGCGCCGCCGTTCCATCGCAACTTATGGCGAACCTCCCGCGTGTTCGAGCCTCAGTTCCGGCTCGCTGTTTCGCACATTGCGGCGTCGATTACGCCGGACCAATCCTCGTACGTGCCTCTGCAGGACAAGGTATAGCGACGCGGAAGGCTTACATCACCTTATTCATCTGCTTAGCCTTTCGCGCCGTGCATCTGGAGCTCGTAAGCGATTACTCGACTCGGGTATTTTTGAACGCGTTTTCTCGGTTCGCCGCTCGTCGGGGAATACCCAACACGGTTTACTCTGATGACGATACTAATTTCGTCGGAGCCGATCGTGAGCTGACCGTGGCCTACCGGGCCGCGTTCCGGGACACGAACTTCCAGAGTTCCACCGCACTCGACGGTGTCAACTGGAAATTCATCCCTCCAGCCGCGCCACATTTCGGTGGGATGTGGGAGGCCGGCATCAAATGCGTGAAACACCACGTGCATCGCGTACTGCGAAACAATTCTCTCACTTTTGAAGAGTACACGACGCTGCTATGTCGGATCGAAGCATGTCTCAATTCGAGACCGATCGTGCCAATTTCCGACTCGTTCGACGATTACGAGCCGCGCACGCCCGGTCATTTGCTCGGATCCGATATCGGTCTGCCTCCTTCGCCGTCGACTCTCCACATTTCGGAAAACCGGTTGACGCGTTGGCAACTCGTGCGGCATCTAACTGAGCGATTTTGGCGGGTGTGGTATCACGATTACGTAAACATGCTGCAACAACGCGGAAAGTGGAGGAAGGCAGCCGTCTGTCAAGGTCGGACAAATGGTCTTGATCCGCAATTCAACCTTGCCGCCGTGCAAGTGGGAGTTGGGGCGAGTGACTCAGTATCACCCCGGTCCTGACGGGCTCACTCGTGTGGTTACCGTCCACACCGCTAATTCCACCCTTCAACGGCCGATCGTCAAAATATGCCTACTGCCAATCAATTGCGTGACCACGGGTTTCGAAACAAACGTTTCAAGGTGGGCGGGATGTTTGCGATCCGTCCAAAGCGCCGCTCTTTGTGTCGACGAAATCGAGGATTCTCGACGCCACGAGATATCCTGCGTGACTCGCGCGTGAGCACGCCGTGCGTATTTTGCTATACCGTGGACATCGCGTAGTTGTTGTCACGTTTTGTCAGCATGTGAGCCAAATATGGCAACGTTTTCGACAATAGTGGTTAACATCTCATCTCCGAGCGACACAAAAACTAAAAATAAATGTAAGATCGAAGTGACGAACGTTTTCGGTTCCTCGCTTCGATCAGATCTTCTCTTCGCACGACACCGCTCGCAAGTGCTATTTCAGTTCGTTCCGCTCCGTTTTTTTCGAATCAGCTGCTCGACCGCTCCGGTCGAACCTCATCGTCCGAAATACGATTGCGGCCTCAACGCATTGCGCTTCGCAAGGACGTGCTACGTACGAGCATATTCTCAGCACACTGTCAAAGTTTATTTTGTATTTTTTTTATAATAAAATTGGGATCGCGTGTTCGAGTGGTGCTCGCGCTCCAACTTGTGAGCATCGGCCTCCGAGCGCCTCGACGAACATCGACGCTCAAAAGGAAGGAAAAGGAGGAACGATCCCACGAAAATAAAAGAAATCAGTGTCTTCCTTTCAATCTGAACCCCGCGCTCATTGCTGAGCGGTCCCGGCCTCTTGTTCACTTTGCCAAAGAGCGAACAACCGGGATATAGCCTATCAATTCTGTTTCTACTTAATAACAAATATATTCCATCGCTACAATCTGAAAATGTGAAATGTACAGTATGAAATAATGTATTCTCGTTATAGACAAATAAATATATATGAATACATATAATAATAAAAGATATTTTTTATAGAATATTGTATGTTGCTTGATAGTGAATCGATTGTCCTTCTGTTCAATAGTAATGTCTCAACGCAGCTATTTGTAAATGTCAAAACTAATATAGCTACCTGTAAATGTCAAATATGCAATATGAAGTAATGTATTATTGTTTTATTATATACATAAGAACATGTATAATAATAATAAAACAATAATACATTACCTCATACTGCATATTTGACATTTACAGGTAGCTATGTTTGATTTGACATTTAGAGATAGCTGTGTTGGCACATTACTCTTGAACAGAAGCACAATCGATTCACTATTAGGCAACACACAATTCTATACAAAATATCTTTTATTATAATATGTATTTATATATATTTATTTGTCTATAAGGAGAATATATTATTTCATACTATATATTTCACATTTTCAGATTGCAGTGTTCAATATGTCATTCTGCCTGTTTGTCTTCACCGTAGCAACCTGAAAATAAAGGGTGTTCCAAAATTCACACAAGAAGTAATTTTGATAGAAAACACAGGTTTATAATTAAAAATTGTAAATTTTTTATTGATTCATAAAGTATATAGTATAGGGTTATGTATGGAATAGCATATCGGGTAAATGGCCTCCACGGCTTTGCTGGCACATATACACTCTTTTGTTGAAATTTTCCATGACCGTTTTGCATAAATGTGGCTGAATCTCGTTGATACAGTGCTCAATTTCTTCCTTCAAGGCGTGGGTAGTCGTGGGTTTGTTGGCCTAAACCTTAGACTTCTAAAAGCCCAAAGAAAAAAGTCCAACGGCGTTAAATCGCATGATCTGGACGACCAAATCTGATCACCAAAATGGGAAATTACACGACCAGGAAATGACTCATACAGTAATTGAATTGTTTCTCGGGCTGTATGGCATGTGGCACCATCTTGTTGAAACCACATGTCCACATCCATATCTTGTAATTTAGGCACAAAAAACTGGATTATCATGTCGCGATAGCGAGCACCATTAACTGTTATTGCTTGCCACATTTTCGGAGAAGAATGGTCTGATGATGCCTCCAGTCCAAAATCTGCACCAAACAGTGACATGTTGTGGATGCATTTGTTTCTCAACAATCACTCGTGGATTTTCTGAACCCCAAATGCGACAATTTTGTCGATTAATCTAGCCATCAAGATGAAAATGAGCCTCATCGCTGAAGATGATTTTGTTCACCAAACTTTCATTATTTTTAAAATATTGCTCAACAATGAAAACGAGTTGTTCTTTCGTGTAGCACTCCATTTTAAAAACCCTGAACTGTTAGCTGTCACACTGTCTTTTTTTCGTTGGCAACACTTTACCACACAAATGGCGCAAAATTCAAATCTTGCGTGAATTTGGGACACCCTTTATAATATATGCAATATGAAATATTGCAATAACATATTCTTGTTTTGGGCAACAATATATATAAAAGATATCTTTTAGATGGTGTATTACCTGGATGTGACTTATCGTTTCTGTTTCTGTTTAATAACAAATATAATCCAACGCTGCAATCTGATAATATATTCTCGTTAGGGGCAAATAAATATACATATAAATACAAACAATAATAATAAAAGATATTTTTTATAATATTGTATTGTCCGGAATAATATTGGGTTGTCCGGAAAGTTCGTGCTGATTTTGAAGGAAAATTGAAATGCAGGAGATTTAAATTTTAGTATACATTTATTAAATTATATAGGTGCCATTCTGTTCTACAATCTTTCTCCATCTTTCAGGCAACTTGAAAATTCCGTCCTTCCAGAATCTCTCAGGTTTTTCAGCGAAAAACTTTTCTACGTGATTTTTTATCTCGACCAAAGAGTTGAAGTTTTTTCCATTAAGGGAATTTTGTAATTATCCAAATAAGTGGAAATCAGAGGGCGCGATATCTGGTGAATATGATGGATGGGGTAGAACGTTCCAACCGAG